TTATAAAATTCTTTAACGTACTTTTACGAATAATGATACAATTCAAACGATCTCTCAGCAGGCACGTTTATAACAACTTTGAACATTTACGTATTTAATCTGAAATTCTGTACCAGTGATTCAAACATTTAAAATGTTTTGAATAATAGACACATTTACTGCAAAATTATGTTACATCAATTACGACTCAATCTTTGGGCACTAATTCAAAAATACATAGCTCATAAATAACAGTCGCTTCATTAGAAAAAATAATCCCATGTTAGGAGAATGTATGTTTTAGAATGATTGCAAGTGTGTGACCAAACGAACAGTACGAAGAACCGAAAGTTTCTACGTGGGAACACAGCATGCCACAGCACAAAATCTCGTAACAGTTCTGAAGAAGACGGTGAAGAGGAGAACATCCTTGTCAGCTGCCTTTCGCACATCCGAAATGCAGCAAATTTTCAAGTTGTAGATAACTTTCTTTTAAAATCTGTTTGTCCCTTTTAATTTGTCACTAATGACATTATTAGAGTTTGTGAAATAAATTATTGTTGTTATTATTATTGTTATTATTATTATTATTATTATTTCAGCACAGGGACTCATAACGTGTAAAGACTGTCAGAATAGTAGACTATTTTGGTAACTGAAATGAGAGGAACATCTCTGCGTATAATGGGAGATTTGGATTTGACTCTCTACACCCGCTGGTGCAGTCATTTGTGTTGTTATATTATATATTATCATTGGACGAATGCGGCGAAGGGTGGGCCACCCACCTGCCGCTGCACGCGCGCCGAGCCGGTGTGCAGCAGGCTGAGCAGGTCCCGGAGCAGCGCGTGCTGGTGGGCGAGGTAGGCGCGTCCGACGGCGCTGCCGCTCAGGGCCAGCACCATGCTCAGCATCTCGAAGCAGTAGGTGTCGGCCTGCTTGCAGCCCTCGAGCGCGCCCACGCCGGCGCCGGCGCCGCCGCCCAGCGCGGAGGCCGAGGCGGAGGCCGAGGCGGAGCCGTTGGCGTTGGCGTTGGCGTTGGCGGAGGCGGAGGCGCCGTTGCCGTTGAGGGAGGAGGCGCTGGCGGAGGCGGCCGCCTGCCCCGAGCACAGCAGCGCCTCCCACTCGTCGCGCACGCGCGCCGCCTCCTTGCGGATCGCCTGCACGATGTGCACGCACACCTGCACACACAGCCACACACTGTCTCCCGCCCGGTATTTACACGCACCGATCTACACAAGCTTTTCAATGCAAAGCTCTCTTTGAAAATGTCACGACGACAGTCGCGTTGCCTCCGAGGCACAGGAGGGCTGGCGCGTACCTGCCGCTGGAGGTGCGTGAGCTTGCTGCGCGAGAAGAGGATGCCCACCATGTGCTCCTTGAGGTCGTGGCTCTCCTCGGGCTCGCCCTTGCCCTCGTCCGCCTCGCGGCCCTCCTCGGGCTGCTCGCCCAGGATCAGCTTCCCGAACACCTGCGCACGCGCACACAAACCGATCTTCGTACACATCGATGTTAAAAATGCAGCGACCCTAAACCATCCGTGTTTATAAAAATGCATTCATATTCACGTGGGTAGAGAGGATTTAATTCCACAGTGAGCGCATTTATTAAGCTTAAAACAGTAAAACACAGTAAAAATTATCAGAATATTTCATAAATCTTTTATTATCTGATCGGATGATTAAAAAAATATAATGACTTTATTTATAGACTAAAACTCCATTTTCATTAATTTTTAACCTGGGTCAGTTCCGTCTGAACACTGGTCCATTTATGGATATCTGAAAAGTATTACTGGATTTTAATATGACGGTATTCTTTTCCTTAAAAAAATATCAACCATTCAGAAACATCGACTTAAAAAAATGAATATCAAATCCATGGATATTATACAAACATTCATGTTTTCAAGTTATCAATGTCACATCCCTCACACATACACTACATCTCCAATGCAGCCCCATCCTCTCTCATAGGCAGAATCAAAAACCAATTGCAGTATACGAATGCAGTGCAACTATTGCGTTAGGTGTTCCCTTAGATTCGATTCAAGGGGCCCCATCTCTAGACGCCAAAAGAGATATTGCTAATGTGAAGAGATGCCGACCTGAGACGGAGGACTGTACCGGCGTACCCGCTCGGTGTTAAAGGGTAAAAAGAACAAAGTCCGTGTGATCACCCTACTCCCACGTTCGTCACCGAGCGAAAAGATGATTTCGCCCCCCCCCCTCTACCGACTACCCATCCGTCGTAGCTGCCCTGGATACTGCGTGGTCCTCATTTGTGAGATGAGGAATCGGGTGATCGCCCAGTCCGTCACCGAGCAAAGTGATGACTTGGCATTGCCTCCACGGACCCGTCGCTAGTGTGTGCCCCGCATCGAGGCCACACCTGCGAGGTGATGATCCCCCTCCACCGTCGTCGAGTTGTTCGGCATCGAGAGGCGCTCACCTGCGAGGTGATGAGCCGGAAGACGCGCAGGGTCTCGGCCTCGCAGTTGCGCTGCTGGATGGTGAGCGCGCTGTGCTGGCGGCCGGCCTTGAGGCTCTCGCCCTCCTGCTCGCCCAGCACGCGCACCTGGCGCAGCCGCAGCGAGTTGTCGGGCCCCTTCAGCTCCAGGCGCAGCGCCGCGTGGCGCGCGTCTGCAACACACACACGCTCCCAGCGACCACTCCACTTGATGCCCTACGGCCCTTTAGGCCCTCCTCCGAGGTACCACATGCATATTTGCTTTAATTACCTGGACAATCTAAGCGCTTATTTCCACACTGATGTATCTACATTTCCGTTTATTGCAACAACATACTCTTGAGATTTTTACTTACATACATACATTTATTAGAACTGCAAGTGGGTATGACCCGGTGGCAGTTAAGTGACAATAATTGCAAAAATTACAACAATGCCTCCCTCCTAGCTGCCAAATATTGCTTTTTACTATCTCGCTAACGTTTACGCAGTGGAGAGAATGATATGTAATGCTGCGCGACAAAACGGAGAATTTTCCACAGTAAATCTATTACTACAGGGCTCTGATATAGAAAAATTGAATAAATGCAATAGCTAAATTTAAAACAATCCTCTAACACGTGGTGTAGCCAGAATCTATGCTTAGTCGGTGCTCGAAAAATCGAATAACGGCAAAACGTCTGTCTGTCCGTCTGTGAACAGCGCTAGCGGCTACACCGTTCAGCCGATTTTCTCGCAAACTGATATTCTCCAATCAACCTGGTTGATGCCGCAGCCCCTTGAATTTAAACCCCAAAGTTTTATTTTGCAGGGTTTCTTACATGAAGCCCTGGAAATTACAAAAAGGGCTCCGTTTTTTATTAAACTTTCTTATAGGATATTGTGAAGGACGTTTAAGAGAATGGTGCAGGTCTCATGTTCGTTAAAAACCCTAATATTTCGAAAATAGCAAAAGTTAAAAATTTGCTAGGTGTCTTCCTACAACTAAAATTATAAATACGTTTCCCTCAATGAAATCTGTTTCTTACAGATATATTTTAAAATAAGATGATGTATAATTTTTAGAAAATTTGAGTTTTTCAAAAAATGATGGCAGATGTCGAAAACAGTTGTATGCTATCTTGAAATGCAAGGCTGAATGGGCCTATTTTCCCCACGAACGTTCCATGCAGACACGCCACTTACGGAATATGTTCAATTGCGAAACTCTTTAAAACGCGTTATGCCGTCTTGAGAAACCACCTTTCCTTTCGCCTCCATTCGCGGAACTCCCTTCCTACACGTCATGGGATTTTCCCTCTGCGACCGGGACGAGGTGCAGGGCAGCTGTATCGCCGCATTGAGCTGCCTACTTCCTCCTGCAGTGACGCACACAACACGTTTCATTTCACCCGCATGAAAGTGTTAGAGCAGTTAATAGGTTCCGCACTCAGGGTTAATAAAACTAAGGTTGAATTGAATGGAATTATTTTACGTGGCGAGACTCGGGCCATCAGGCCCGCTCTTCCGTCCGACCACGCAATTTCGCTACGCTCCTTTCACCAACTAGGAGAGAAAGGCAGTATTTTCTTTGGCGAGAAACAGGCGATTTTGGAATTTAGCTCAGAGCAGGTTGCGTTTAGGCTTGAGGATCTTTTACATGGAAGTAAATCCTACGAACATGGGACAGCCGGCTTTACTTCCGCCCTCGAAGGAAAGCGTACGAAGGATTGTTTTCACCTTAAAAAATCCAGGCTTCGATTAGGTTTGAACCCGCCAACTTGGGTACAACAGTCCAGTACGCTAACCGTTACACCATCGCCGCCAAGGTTCTCTTGTGGTGTCTTTACAAACCCACAGAAAAAATAACCAAGCCTTCCTTCACAGCTTTCCAAAACGTACTTCTTGGTTTTGCGCACGGTATTCACGAATAACATAATTCCATTACAGAGTAATAATTTTTAATACCATTTTAAGACAAGTAACCTTCTGCTCGAAAATACACCGAACTGAATTGAAACTATTTTTATAAATAAAATATATTCCTTTTCAGGTAATTTAAATTTGTAACACATTATTGCTTGTCTATAAATAAACATTTGTGTCGTTGATCTCTGCAGTATCACCGTTCCCAAAATCACAATTCCCATTGATACACCAAAACAAAATTTTGAATATTAGTTTTTTTTTAACAAAATATCCACGAATAAATTCCCATTGCTCCCACATTCCTACACATCGTGGTCAACACCTTATTTAGAAATTCTCGAAGACCTCTATGATTATGACGCTAAAATGTTACCAGGTATAAATCTCTCCAAGACTCGCTTGCTTTTGACGAGCGCTTTCGAAGTTTTAGATAATCAGAACATCTCATATTATCCCATTAAATAGAACGATGAAAGTATTCATAGTATGAAATATCTCAAGAAGCGACTACGTTTCTGAAGTGTAAGTATTAAGAGTATTTTAGAAACTAAATTTCGCAAAGTACACTTTATAAAGAGTAATTTCACGTTGGCACATCGAAAAAACCTGACTTATCATAAAACAAAAAATATAGATGGCAAAAGACAGCAAGAAGTAAATGAAAATGTTATTCCCGTACGCACTTACACGAAGTACACGTTTTTATCACCTCAAGCGAAACATTGACAATTTGGCTCAATATTTACTCTCCTAATTACATTTATTTGAAGTTCAGCATACTCAAATACATTAATGCAATTATGGCACTATAATAATGAGACGATGCCGCAAACAATTTCTATTGCTATAGAATAGCGTGAAACTTCAAAATGAGCATGCTACATCATGCTGAGCCTCACGACGTAACGAAAACGAACCTAGGTATCAAAGATCATCAAGGAGTGGTATCTGATAACGATTTCGATAAGCAGAGAGGCCAAATTGACGAGTCGCAAAAAGTTATATGCTGCAAACTTGACATCATTATTACAGCAATCACACTTTTACAAGGTCAATGCACTTCACGTCTACCTATGATGCACGTCTTGGCAGCATAACTACCGTAATGATATACTGTCTTCTGAGAACTGTATTTTCCTGTATTAGTTCTGAATTAAGAAAGCTATGCCGACGTATGTACTCTTCTATCTCACCATATCCCATCACGGAAACTTCTAACTCCGCAATTATGAAGAGTCGCTCTTGAAGAGAACAATTAAATTGGGAATATTTTATGTTCGTCCAAATGACCAACAGGTAGGAAGGAAATAACGAACAATTATCCACACTCTTACACAAACTATATTGAAGATTATTCATTCCATTACATTACTCTACGAAAACCTGGTTCATACATTGTTTCTGATAATTAAATTACAGATACGTGACACGAATAATGCCACAATAGGGATGGCATCTTCAGGCTTTCTTCCAACTTTTTTACAGTCCTAAAGTCTTCTTACAAGTCTTAAAGGTGAATAGTCGAAAAAACAGTCAGCTCATTTTTAGCGCAAGTTTATTCATTTATCGCAGGTATGTATTTGATAACCAGGGGAGGATTTTTATGACGCAAAACGTCGCGAAAAATGATCAAAAACGCTCTTAAAATGTTTTAAAAATGACCTGAAAGTAAAGAAAAATGATGTATAAAACTGATCAAAAGTAATTGAGATGTACAACTCAAGCTATTGGATATGTTACTGATGTAATCGAGCCTTCTTCCTTTAAGTGAATCTTCCGTTCTTTACCAAGAAATCTCAGTCTTCAGTTACCCCGCAATCGGCCGAATGAACAATGGCGCTGATCAGAGGAACCTTACATTGCGTAGTCACAACGGCTGGCATTACAATTTCTGACCGAAGAAATCGAATAGGCTACTGACGAATTCTGTGGAAAGAATTTGTTGCATCTTGTAAATATTATTTGTGGCAAATACCATTAAAATTATATTAAAATCGATTAAATCAGCGAAAAAATGCTATAAAAATGACGGAAAAGTGTAAAAAATGCCTTGTTTCTAGAAATTCGACGAAAAATGTGATATAAAAATGGGTCGTTGCTTTTTTCATGACAAAAAATTAATGTCTATACTACAGGGCATTGTTCTTCAGTGAAAAGAAAAAAAAATGACATTTCATTATATTTACCCCTTACTGATAACATAATTGACGCAATTACGACCATTTACTGCGTAAAAAGTTATTCGCCAAAAACTAGGATTCTCAATTTTTACCGAGAGGTAGAAGCAGGAGCAGTGGAAGGAAGCAGCGGAGATCGACCTCCGGGTCGCTATTGCATCACCAACCCAATTGCAGGTTGTTGTCCGGATACCTGACGCTGTAAGAAAGCGATTTCAGATTAGAAACTTCTCCGCCGGACATTGCTGTCCATGGTAGCACTTCAACGCGTCCTCGAGACAGGAAGGATGACGAGAACTTAGGAAGCGAGAAACGCAGAAGCTCTCAAGAGGCGGATATGCCCCAAGTGCGCTGACTCCGAAACGATTGCCTCTCGAGCCGCCTTTCCAATCAGATCACTTATCGTGAAGGCATGATGCAGGAGTAGGCCAAGGCTACTAGATACCGAATCAAATTGCGTCATTTTAGCAAACCGCCCTATTTTGTCTGCTCGATACGCCGCTGATCAACACGGAGAGTTGAGTCAGTGGATGCGAGAGCGTTCAGCAACGGCGGGGAGGAGTTTCTCGGTTCTTGCGCTATTTCCATCTGCTCAAATTCGCCCTCAGTTCAATGAGAATAATTTCGAATTTGAAATTGTTTAGTATCATATTTCAACATCAAAAAATGTTAAATACATTAATAATGACGATAACACGAAAATATTGGTTAAATGTTAAATGCGTGATTTTTTTGTGCTACTAAAACTGAAAATTTCAGTGTGACCGAGGTCGAAACAAAAATTAATAGAGATAGTACAAGTACAATCAGTTTGTTCACGAATTATAAACAGTTTTTCTAAGATCATATAACAATATTTCAATTACGCATAATATATTTATCTTTACTGTTCGTAGTGAAAAATGTCATCTTCGTTCGCATCGCTATCTTTGAGAGGAAATAAAGTAACATCGTGAAAAATATTACCTTTTGAAATTTGAAATAAATATTTTCATGTATTGTTAATAAAATAATTCCAAATTAGAGGCTTCGTATTCAGAGAAGGTCCAGGGCCCGTTCTTAGCCTCCTTGTGAGATACCAATCCACCCCTGCTCAAGATAACTGAGATTTTGGGAGTTGTTAGGAGTGCTCCACGTGATAGCAATATGACTAGGTCGAGTATTTGCAGGAACGGCATCTTCGTGGATGGGGTCAGGAACACTACTCACCTATTGATGTTTCACGGCACGTCAGCTACTAGGGTGTTCCGTTCGTGTTCTGAATGTTTGTTTGTTTTTCTCACTGAGGTGGCGATGTTGGCACCGTTCTCATTGAACGGTGAGATCGGTTCGTAGCTACACGTCCGTTTGCAGGTTTTTTCTCAAACCAGGTATCTCCCACCAGCGGGGAACCGCCCCCGCCGGAAAAAGCTCTAAGCTCCCGACCTTTCTCCCGGCATGTGTGGTAGTATAGTGATGTAAGTGCGAGGGTAAGTGAATTCATGTGTGTGTATGGGTAGAGGGTAGGGCAAGGAAGAGGAAGAAAGAATGTAGGCGATCCGGTACCCTTTTATTAGGACTCTGCTCCGGCATTAACCGTTTTGGTGCTGATCGGAGAAACCAATGAAAACTCCCACCGAGAGCAGCCAAGATCTAGAATGCGACCTAGCTTATGGGGCTCCGTGTGAGGGAGGGGGGCGGGGGAGGGGTACTCACCGAGGACGGGGCAGCTGATCCATCCCGTGGCGCGGTTCTCCACCTCCACCTGCCGCAGCCGGTACAGCTCGTCGGGGTTGGGCCCCGACTGGAAGGTCACGCTCGACACCTTGTTCTGCAACGCAACAACGCGCATTGCATGCGCTTTCACCTCTCAAACACTCACGTGCGCACTTTGTGACGTTCACGATGATTATCATCAGCATGAATAAGGTGTGCGGGCGCTTCAATAACCACACCAACAAGTCATCAACTAATTCACTATAAGTTCGGTCAGATAAAATTATTTTTTGAAACAAAAGATTAAGCGTTGGGTGTACATTGTTAAAATTTTCAATTTTTTGAAACTGATGATTTTTTACTACTTAATTTGGTGATTTAAAGTGACGATTACTTGAAGTCTGTCTTGTTTTACTTCATTTTTAACAGTTATCCAATGTCACTTATTCACGCACATACAAATCGGTCCGATCCCGGTTTAATTCGATTAACTGAAGTTCAGCGGCATGCATTCTGTAAATGAACTACGTTATGAACTATATTGAGTACTTACCGCCAGATCCCGGCAGTTGTCTATGTGAATGTATACCATGCGCGGGTAAGCGCCAGGTCCACACACGATTGTGATAGTCTTCGTTTTATTACTGCAAAACAAATTCAGAAATAATTCAGTCTTAGGGGGGAGCGAATGCCTTCAGTCTTTCTAACGAAACGTACATTAATACAAAATTAGTTTAAAACTATTTTCTGGTAATTAGAAAATATAATTCACTATACAAACTTCATTTTATACTCTATTACAATTCAAGTTTTAAAGAGAACAAGGAAGGTACGTACGTACGTTGTATTTGAAACTGAACATCAGCGTTACATTCCTGTCATGCAGTGAAATCCAATTCATCAATAATAATAATAATAATAATAATAATAATAATAATAATAATAATAATAATAGTATGCAAGACTAGGTTTTCAATCACGTGCGTACGTGGATTTATATTAAATGTTTTTATTGTTGACAAAGGATGAGTAATCACCGGAAATCAAAGGAAGTTATCAGTTTATTTCGAAATTTCACAATCGTCAAAGCCCTTTAAAGGGATCTATTTTATATTTGCCATGGATCAAGGGAAAGAGACAACAGACAAAGATACCTATGTTTTCGTTCAAGTGACTCGAGAAGAGGAAGTGATAACAAATGGCCGATAAAAGTGAGATGCGAACAGACGTCACGCAGATAACATCTGATATACGATCACATGTAAAGTCAGACTCTTCGCTGTTTTATCTTACTAGTGTTGAAATGGCTAAGTGATCAATGTTAAGGTCACTCAACGACTGTCAAAACCATTTTCAAGGTGATCTGATAACATATGAATACAAAAAATGGAAAGCAAAGAAATGACACTGTATAAATCATTTAAGGGAATCATTATGAAACATGAAAAGTATCATCTTCCCGCATTAAGGTTATACGTCTATTCTTGAGAGCTCTAATAATAAAGCTGATATCCAATGATATGCGATATCGTTACGCCTTTTCCTTAGTATCCGATACCGCGTGACAGAAGGCCTCTGACAATGGGAAATGGCCACGGAGTAAGATATTGCTTCGAGCACGAAAGTCCTTTACAAATTTTGCTTGAGATTTTACATGACAAAATGAACAACATGGATCAAACGTCCCGTTAGTTTCCTATACTTTCGAGGTCGTGTAGGTAAATTAAGATGAAAATCTTCAATTAAAACTCGCGTATTGAACCTTACAATAATTTCGATGACAATATCATTATATTGTGAACGAGCGTACAAAAAGAAAAAAGAACAATGAAAATACATCCATTTCAATTTTTAGTCTCCTAAACAATGTTCATGCTCAGACATCACCACAAAATTATAAAATTGCATCAAAACGCAAGTGAACGCACTATTTTCAAATTGTGGGGTTTAAAACAATACGCAATTATACAAAATTATAAAAAATTCACATTCTCATTATTCAGCACCAACGATGTGCAAAAATAATTGTACGTAACTAAATTGAGTCATTATTGTGGTTTTATGGCATTCGGCCAAATTGAAATGATTTTCGCCTTTTCTTCGTGAGATAAGGCGGAAGACACGAATACCAGGATCAATAGATAAAGAAATGTACTTACAAGATTCATGCACAAAGTGTAAACAATATGGCCTTACCACCAGAAGAAAACCCACGCATTGCAACGTAGTGGTGGCGCTTACCGGTCCTCGTCGCCCGACTCCCAGAAGGTCTCGGTGGAGTTGTCGACGAGGCTGCCCACCATGGCCTGGCGGCTGGACGCCTTCATCTCCACGCCCGCCGTCAGGTCCTTGAGGCACTCCACGCAGCTCGTGGCCTGCGAGTACGTCGACTGGTGGCTCTCGTGCAGGCTCGCGCTCAGCTCGTCCGCCTCCTCCTCCGACCGCGACAGGATCTTGCTGATGTTGCTGAACACTTGGCTCCTGCGCGACCCACAGCGCTGCGATCAGCTCTTCGCTCTGGCTAGCGCGTTCCGAGGCCAGTTCCTAATTGCTGAATTACTATCTTTCCACGATACATTAAAAATCTCGAAGGGAAGTCATTGGAAAAACGACAGGGCAGCGAGTTTGAAAATTACAAAAATCGTTTAGGCCTTTATCGTGTTGTTTACAAAAAGGACATCAAATGCAATAGATGAAAGGGTAATCAGGCATATGTTATGCTAAATAATTCCTTCTACAACACAAAACGCGAGACATTACAGTATCATTTCAATCACCAATCGACAAGTTCTTAGCATTAGTCAAATGTTTTAAGAGTAATAGAGCGTACTTGACACTTACTTATGTGCACAACCTGGATAAAATATTAGAGACACATACAGAAAGTATTACACTATTACATTTATAAGAGTAATATTATATCACTTGTCAACACTCAACCTACATTCTGAAAGGTCAAACAGGTACAGCCCTCTCATATATCATCCTATCATGTATTTCGCGTAATCAATTAAGAAATTCGATTGGTAAAATATCAATATGATGACTGTGCATCCATTACATAGTGTTTCGTGCACGATCCTATTAGTTAGTAATTACGTTGATATACAACACTTCTGCATTTTCACTAAGAGGCGTTTTGCGACACGGAATGCCTTTTAAAATACGAAGTCTAGTTTCAACGGTCACTGAACCAATTTTAACTGTCCTGCCACGATGTCCTATCTGAAAGTGAGGTTCAACACGGCCGCTTCCTCCTTCCAATACTCAGATGCTTTTCTCCGCTGTCCCGACGAAATTGAGCTATAAATTTCCACCCCGCCAGCGGTCGGCATTTGGAATGCGGAGATATTGCAGAGAAGAAACGCCGAGAAACTTAGAGAGGAAAAATGTCACTCGGAAGATTGGTCAAATATTTTTGAAAGCTCAAGCCCATAGGAAGAAACCCCAACATGTTATACGATGAGTCAAAACAGAAAATCACTTATATCCACCTCCGGATCTAGATGTCCATATTAAAATTACTCGGGTGTTGAAATAATGATTAAAAAACTCGCAGCATGAATTTTCATAATTGAGCATAAAAAAAGATATGAAAATTCTGTACTACCCTTTCGATATTGTAATCAAAATAGTAAACATTGGGAATGCAGTTGGGACTAAGAATGAGAGAAGAGACGGGTGAATCAAAAACTTTCCGCAATAATGTCTGACAAAGAGTCGATTTCCCTCATAAATCGTAATTCACAATGCAAACCTAGTGACATTTAAAAAAGAATAAATGCACAAATGAAAGAATTGAACTCATGCGCGTTTGAACTAGCAATGATACATCTATTTTAACGGAAATTCAACTGATTCCAGGTGTATTAATACAACTACGATACTCCTTAAAGTTCAATAACTAGTGCAGACTGCACGGGAATAACTTTTAATGTGGCACTCGTGTAGCCTATGTTAGGCGATTACAGATCTGAGCTCCCTATTTGTACACTCTATTGGATAGCCTCAGAGTCTCTGGTATTTCAAAATGGTGGTACGGTAAAGTTTCTATAAAGTTTAAGTATTTCTCGGTGACATTAAATTCTCGAAGGTCCAGAATTGTAGGTCGGGCAGACTTGAACATTACATTTTCTGTATCTGACATGGACTACATTTTTTTGTAATGCTATACGGATATATCGACTTAAAGCAACCAAAAAGAACGAACCAACGATGTATCAAACGATGGTGTAGGAGTGCTGCTACTTAAGAAAAGGTATTTGATTTTTTATGATTTTTTTCCTTATAAAAAGGTGATATTACGAAATGGTTATTAACGTTTTTAGGCCGATAAACAACAATGCGAAAACCTTATTTCTGTTATAGGCCATGTGCCGTTAGTACATTTCGTAAAAACCCATTTTGATAAAAACCAAATTATATAAATATTTTTTGGGGATTGGAGTACTATTCGTCAACTTTAGCTATTAGTCGCATTTTTTCAATTGTTCTTCACGGATGGCGGACTGTTAAATCATTAAAGGCCGGCCGTTACGTGTGCCTAGAGAAAGACAAGAAATTCCTTGAGATGAAAACGAAATTCGTTCCTGTCTGATTGCGTTCGATAACAACAGTATATTATTACTTAGAAAACTATTGAGCCACACCGTTGATATCAGAAATAACGGACTAGGTTGGTTGTAAATCTCTGCGCTATCGCGTCTGTTTGCGAACTTCGACCGCGTCCATTAGTTTCTCTATTGCATTCTGCATCTGAGTCGTGGTTGCTAGTGATGCTCGACCATTCACCATGTTGGGGGAGGGGGGGGGGCGCACCTGTGCAGGAACATGTGGTCGGCGGGCGAGAAGCGCAGCCCCCAGCAGCGCACGGCCATCTGCTGCAGCGCCGAGCCGGCCGGCAGCAGCAGCATGAGGTCGGCCACCGTCTGCAGCAGCGCATGGAAGGTGGCCGGCAGCGGGTGCACGGCCTCGCCGGCGATGCTGATGTCGCTCAGCGGGTGCTCGCACACGCTGTACAGCTCCTGCGCACGGCCACGCCAAGTTCTACCACTACGCCCATCCACCACCGCTAGCTTTTCCATGAAAACATCCACGTTTTAAGCATGATAAAAAATATCTGTTTACAATTACAGTACTGAAATGAAATAACGGTATATATTTATGTTTGCTAACGTATAGTCAATATGTCAATAATAATGTTTATAGAATGTACAGAATGCAATTAATACATTTGATCTCTGTTATTCATAAATAATGAAATTAAAACGTCCTGTATCTAATATATAAAATATGTAAACACTGCCTTCAAGCATTCTCTCACCTTATATTTTTAATCAATATTCTATAAAGATAAGGTTCAAAATGCAGTTTAACGATATTTCCACGTAAAACATAAAAAAGACAAACACATTTAAGAAAACAACATCATTTATGAAAAAATATATCAATCTAAAAAAAACATAGAAAACAAAACATCAATGTTAACGGGACAATCACGAAATAATAAACAGGAATAATAACATTGCACATCACACATGCGATACATTAATCGGTATTTTTTCATGTGCATCAAGATACTTTAATTATTAAGAGAATGATCAACTGCTGTATAACTAGGAAAATCTAAAGGTTGGTAAATCAACATAGAGGCGAGCAGCACTATTATCAGGTACATTGCTGATAGTTTCTGCCACACGGGAATGCAATTTCATTAATACTACGACAATGTGAAGTTTCTTCAGTACCGTCTCTCAAGTCATATCAAACAGATCTTATATTAAATACAGCATTACATGTTGCTTGAAAGCAACGATTTGAAGACCAATGTCTGGTGCAGTCGAATACTACGGGTCGGGATTTCCCAACCGAGTAGCTCCCGCCAGCGTGGCAGTACCCCAGTTGGGACACGCTCTCTTCTCCCGGCAAGTGCCGTAGTGTGTGCAAAAGAGGGGTAGGGTAGGACAAGGAATGGGAAGGAAAGATCGCGTGTGACGCGTGCCCTCTTCATTAGGGTAGTGCTCGGGCATTCGCCTGGTACTGATCGGACGAACCACGGAAAATACCGGTCAGAGCAGCTCGAATTCCCCTCCAGACAGCGACTGACTTCCACCGTCGGGGCTCGAATCCGTAGACCTCCCGGTCAGTGGCAATGCAGTGACAACTTCTATACCCTGAGCCACCTCGGTGTGTGCAGGGGAAGGGGATACTCACATGCTCGTCGCGTCGGTCGGCGCGCGCGCCAGCGGCGGCCGCTTCGTCGCCGTCCTCGTCGGGCTCGGGGGCGTCCACGGGCGCCGGGGTCAGCGCCGCCACGAACCACCACAAGAGGTCGTGTAGGCTGGCCGGCTGGGTCACGTTGCGCAGCAGCCAGTTCAGCGCCTGCGCGCAAGCGGCCGATTCAGCTACTACATTAAATAGAGCGTTATATACCACACACTTTTACTCCTTTAGTTTGCGTGAAACGGCGTTTTGTACTTGCTCACAGGCACTTTTTCTCGAAATCAGTGTTTCTCATTTCAATCTACACTGAAAATAAATTTCGTAATTTTTCACAAAGATTATAATAGAAATTATTCACATTTCTATTATGTTCAATACACCACGACCTTTTCAGACGAAAAGATTTGCCTTAAATGGAGTGTCTACGGTAAACACACTTTCTGACCTTTCCATCCCAATTTACAGACTTCTCACCAATCAATTGCTCCCATTTGCAAGTTCGCAAAAATCATTTTGTGTACTTTTAAGTTGCTTTTTGTACCGCAAACTAATAGATACAATGACAACAAGATAGATATTTCTCACAAGCACAACAGAGCGTGTTTCGTGCTCGGCGTATTGAAAAAAATATTTTCGTTGGTGTCACAAAAAAGGTGGTCAAGTTGGATCTTGCAAAAAATTTGAACATATTTTCACATGATTCATATGTTTATTTTCATATGATGACCGGTAAAAATTACCCAGTATTGTGTTCTTTAATTTAATGTTCAGTTCTAAATTAAACTCATGTCCATACAACTGGTACAAAAGATATATTTTTAATTGGCATTGTCAATTATAACAGTTTTACAAAAATGTATTCCATTAGTCTACTTTACTTTAATATTACAATAATAAGCGGGTACTAGTTCCTTTCCAACCTTCTCGAAACCCCTACATCGGTTGGATTGCAGCGAGTAAAACGGTCCCAGCGCCACTGGCGGGCGTGCGTGGCTCACCTGCATGGCGAAGACGCGGCACGTGGCCTTGCGGAGCGCCTGGCGCATGGTGAGCCCCAGGGCCTCGAGCGGGTGCTGCTGCAGCACGAAGGCCATGACGGGCCGCGACAGCAGGTCCAGGCCGGCGTGGGCGGCCAGGGGCGCCCCCGCCGGCGCAGGGGCCGGCGCCGTCGCGCTGCCGCCGCCGCCGGCCACCACCACCGCCGCCCCCGCGGGGGACACGCCCACCACCGCTGGGTGCTCCACGGCCGGCACCAGCCGCTGCAGCGCCGCCGACGGGTTGCACAGCAGCGACGACCCGCCGTCTGCAGCACACCCAGCGTCTCAGCACACCGCGCGCACGACACAAGCACAGCAGGGGCAAATTAATCTCAACTCTCACATATGTGCCAAAGCCTCGGGCGCAAAAGAGAGCAGCGCTCGAAACTGTAATTCCTTTCAAACAACACAACATCTCAGAATAAATGTTACAATATTCTAAGGCACGTAGAGCTGTCGAAGATTATTACTTTTTGCCAATCAGACATAAGGGCGGTTATTTCTTATAACAAAGTTACACATACGACATTGTGTCTTCAATTTTAGGCACCTCTGCTTTGTGTTGCGTACCAGTGTCATGCTGTTAGACTTTTTAAATTATGTTTTCATTCGAAAGAGAGGTGATCTCGACTTATCAAGAAATTTTCCTCGCCTTAATTCGGTTGAGAATTTCTGATAGATTGTGAAAAGAAACACTTGTAAGGTAGAATTCACACACTACACCAACCATCGTACCGCGGTTTACAATATTATAGACATGTGATATCAAGATGATGTCACGAAAACTATGAGTGAAAAACTCTTTAAACCCATGCCGATCTGTATAAATTACGCAACCAAAGCCCGTTGTAGTTATATTTCATATTATTTTTATAGAATTTTTGTACATCTTTGTTTCAAATAGGTTTGTTAAGAGTTCAGGTTAATTTGCATACTACTGTGTAATACGTGTGCTTTAAAATAATCTCACAGTAGTAGAGATGTAGAAGCAAAAAAATAGAGTAGTTCATTTTTTTAAAAATCAAATTAACTCAATATCACAAAACGGTGAAGGAAGTACTTGAATACTGTTGAATACCGTTGAGTATTTAAAACATGATATTCAATAATCAAGTTATATTTCTTTATAATAAGTTCAAAATATTTCTCTCAAATTTCTCTTATTAATCATGAATAATATTTTTTACGCAAACACTTCTATTTACATACGAGTATATTCAACATAATACATATAAATACTTAACCTGTATGTCAATGCAAGAATGATTTCTGGTATCAACCAAGCAAAATAATTGCCACATAAAGAAGTCATGCGGTTATTCACAAGATTACACGGAAGTGAATGATGGAGAGTAATTTGTGCAATTAGTTTTTGAAAATGCAATAACACTTAGAATAAACCAATGCAGAAATGGAATCCGTTAACATGCACTTTCCATAATACATGCCGTTATTCTTAACTACACGCATTTAACTACGTATACCAACAAATTTTGAGATTGAGATAGTTTATGGAAACATATCCATACCAGAAAAGTCAAAACATGTTTACATTCTCATTTTATGTCCATTTATCATCAGATATCACCATACATTAATGATTCATCAACAATGATGTTTCTGAGACAAGACTACTTTGTCGAGATGAAAGACTCGCTACAATATTTCGAAATGTACAAATAAGAGTAGAGAATATATGATAGAAACATATTAATGGAAATTATTTACATTAATGATAACGAGAGATCACATGCATATGACATCACAAACTGACTCCTCTTGGTTTCTTCCCCACCTCTCAGTCTCCTCATGATTTCTTCCCCTCTGGAATAATGATCTCGTCATTAGGATACATCAGTGGGAATGGAAGAGTCTGTTTTTCCAGCGCGACATTTCATTAAGTAGGACTTCAATTCTTTTATGAGTATCCTCTCTGCAATAACCATACCCCTACTGACGTCAAGGACAGGCATTATTGAACACCATAAAGCTTACAATTAAAGAAGAGATATTGAAAATTGAACCTTATTCTATAAATATTGATTCTGAATCTTCTAATTATTAATGTTGGTACTAGAGTTTTCTCTCAGTTTGTTTTCCTTAGATTGGTACAACATGTTTTTTCTTTATTTATTCTCCATTGATCATAACTCTCTTCGCAAAGGAAGAAACAAGTACTGTACACTGAACTGAAGTTTTTAACATGTTTATAGATGACATTTTATAATTTACTTACGACACACAAATGTTTTTTAACAAGTGATTAATGAAGTAACTTTTTATATATTGGTTAAGTGACCTTGAATTTACTGTTCTATAACCTACTATGTATATTGTTCTTAATGTTTATTGTTAATCATTTTGGTTTTATTTTGAATATGTTTGTAATTAGTACTTGTTTTATTCTGCATTAAAAACGTGATCGGTTGACGCACACGAAACGTCTCATATTCATGGAAGAAAAGCAATAAAAAAATATAACTTAAGGAATTCTGCTTCTACACAATCCATACCACCCTACAAATCAACTAGTTCTTCAGCAATTCACGAGAATCACGCGACTGAATTTCACCACACAACCGCGTCGGCAGTTTGGAGGCCGGACGTCGTGTGACGGATAAAACATATCGTTTCTTTAGCCTTAACACGTATGCATTAAATTCAAAAACCGATTGACTTAATCGATCATTGGCGCGAGACTGTCTTTTAACAAGTGGTTTATGAAGTAACTTTTTATATATTGGTTACATGATCTTGAAAGTCCAAGCGTCCAAGCATCCTGGTGCATATGCATTCCTCTGACGCATTCTCGATATATGCGAGTTCGGTTATGTAATGGAGGGTACGCCCATGGCGTCATTACGGTACAAATATTTAAATTTGCATATAAAAATGCATGTGTTAACTGTCAAATGCTTTCAATGCACAAAGCAAGGGTGTCATTGGGATTTGAGAGAGTCGCACCACAAAGTAGAAGCACGCACGTCCTCCTCTGCGCTACACCCACGCGCAACACGTCATCTCGACTTCAGAACGCAATCCTGCTGTTCGCGTGTGATCACTTAACGAGAAAGAAAAATATTTCCACGTCCCACACTCTCGCGTCACACCATTCACGTGAATTCAAAAGGAAAAAGGCGACGCTCGTTCAAGCATGTCGCGTGTCGGGAAAACCTTAACCACAAAAGAAGAGAAGTAGGTACGCTTGCTCACCACAATGCGTGCGCTTTACATGCACAGTCTCGGCCGCGCCGCCCGTCGATCCTGCAGAGCGAGGTACTATGCACTTGGAAGGAAAGACATGTTTCTATGTCGTACGAACTCTTTTCTCAACACTTTCAGCTACATTCAACAGAGAAAGAAGGGGCTGATACGAACGAGATTTGGGTGGAAGGTGCCGCGCCCACAAAGAAGAAGAGATGTTCTCGCACGATGAACACAGCATCAGCGAGCAGTCATGCAAGACATGCGTATAATGTTAAAGAAATGTTTGCATATTGTTCAAACTCCTGCTCGAAAAAATTTTCATGCATTCCACAGGAAAAGGAGCTGATTTCTTGGCCAGAGGAGGCATACCACATAGAAGAACAGGGGCACGCGTACGTGTCCATACCTGCACCAGTAAATCGCGTAAAACATGCGTGCACATCATATACACTTCTGCAGAAGTTGCAACACCTGCCGACCCTACAATTTTCTTACTTCACTTAGGAAGAAAATAATCATTTCTATGTCTTACAACCTCCTGTCTAAATGCATTTGCATGCAAACAACAGAAAAAGGCGCTGATTGAAACCCGTCAGACCCAGGTGCGGAATCATATAGACGAAGAAGAAGAAGAAGAAGAGGAGGAGGAGAGGAACCTCCAGTGTGGAAGTCATGCATGCACATCGCATTTACACCGACGGACTGTCTCAGATTATTTTCTAACAGGGAGGAAATGAAACCCTAATCTATCATACAACTTCTCGCCTCAACATATTTATTTGTTGTCCACAGAGAAAGAAAGGGCTGACGTCAACCAGTCGGAAGGCAGAGGCTGTCGCACAAAAGAGAAGAGGCCTGCGTACGCGTCAAGAACTGCAAAGCCAGTCAATGTTGCAACGCATACCACAAACAGAGAACGAATATGCATTAACTAGCCGGATTATTTATTAGTGTTTGGTTACTAATTGGAAGTAAAAGGTGTATATCGAATCGTACGACCCGTCTACAACACTTTAACATGCATTCCGAAGAGAAAGAAGACGCTGAGTGGAGCCAAGTAGAAGGCAGGTGCCGCTCCACGAATGCAAAGAAGTGCTCGCGCATCCACCACTGCACCACCACTCCTCGGAGCAATGGAATGCGTTCGCATTGCTTCGACACAGAATGACGCTCACCCACTCTACAGTATGTTTCTTAAATAGGAAAGAATGGAACGATTCTTAACCTTCTAGGAATGATAAGTGCGTTTCGTATCTGGCACATTCAGGAGAGAAAGATGAAGTTGATTAGAACCTGGGGTTGGCAAGGGCCGATCAAGAAAGAAGAGGAGGAAGTAGAAGAAACAGAAGAGAGGCATGCACGCGCGTTCAGCTCCGCACCACTCGCATTGCTTACGCACATAATGACGCTCGCCCATTCTACAGTTTGGTTATTTGGAAAGAACAGAATCATAACCTCCTGTCTCAACCCATTCAGATGCATTCAACAGAGAAGGAATAAAAAGAAGGCGATGACAGCCTGTGGCTGGCAGGGGCGTTCCACACAAGAAGAAGGAGAAGTGCATGCACGCGCATCCACCATCACTTCCGGGAGAAACGCCATGCGTCCGCAATGTTGTTGATGCAGTTAACAAGGAAAGAAGGGAGCATTTCGCCAACGCGCGTCCCGCCGAGGGGAAGGAGAGAGAGCGCGGCATGCAGCGTGCGCGGTGGCGGCGGCGGCGGCGGTGCTCACCTAGGGTGCGCTGGGAGTGCGTGTGGGCGCGCGGGCGCCGCGCGGGCGCCGCCTCGCACTCACCGGCGGCGGCCTCGCTGCTGCTGTTGTTGCGGCGGCGCGCCATCACCACCCACTCGCCCGCCGCCTTGCCGCCTCGCCGTCGCGCCCGCCCCACGCGACCGCCCCGCCGCGCCGCCGCCGCCGTTCGGCCCCATCGAGATGGAGCGGTGGAAGCCGCGCCCCTTGCTCGCCTCGCCCTCGCCGTCCGACAGCGGGCCCTCCGACAGCGGCTGAAACACACGCTATCGATGCAGCGCTGCCAATGTTCTCTCAGTACTGAGCGACAAAAGAACAATTAAGCCAAAAAATATACGTAATAACGAGTAATTTGGCGGGAGGAAACCCAAAATGAACACACTGAGGAAAATACAAGAAAAAGGTTAATACGTTGAAGTCAAGGGAGAGTCCAGCCGTCATTGAATCGGGGGGAAGGCACAGATCTTTGTTAAACAATAAACATATTTTTTATTTTATTGTGTATTATTTTTGTAGATTATACATTATTCTTTAAATAATTCCAAAATTCTAACAAATAAATATTTAAATCAATTTTGCCAAATAACCGAAGGTAACAAACGAAAATTCAAGACCTTTTGGGGAGATTACATGACTCCCATGCCCCTCCCCTGGGTCCGCTACTGGTTAAAGTAGATATTCCTATAAACTTTTTTTTTTCAATTCCCAGACTCAGCCTCAGCCACCTCCGAATTAACAAGAACAGGAGATACCTCCGTTAGTCGCCCCCTCTACACTCGTAAGGCACACCAAGCGCTGGACTTTTCGCTCTGAAGCATTTTAGTGAGTTGTGATGCGTGACTGGGAGTGAATGTATTTACGTTATATTTACGATACATTTTTACTGTGTAGAAGCTCTTCAATGTTTAATCCATTTCGAAACATTTCTCGCTTCTTTCTTACTCATTCAAATGTGTCACGCTGTTCACCGAAACAAGTATTCATGAATAAATAATTCATGTAATACAAAATAATTGTTTGTGCTAGGAATCATTATGAATTTCATCATTCGCTGTTACCGATCAGTCCTGTATGTCCCTAATGTTAGTTATCATTGCTTTATATTTGTTTCTATAAAGAAGACCACTGGGTACTCAAATTTTGAGATTATTTCTCCCCCACCCCATTGATCGATCACAGACCAGCGGCAATAGCTAGTGAGGCCGTGTCCCCAACAAACAGGTACTGAGGGTGAAGACACGAACTCCCCAAACACAAGGAACGTTCCCTATATTGTGCCTCCCCTTACTCGACATATCACGCACGCAACGAGGGAAAACCAACCAATATCATGCAGCTGCCAACAGGATCAGAACAACAGTAATCGGAGTTGGTTCTTTGAATTTGATAAATATCTCCTATGGGATGAAGTAATCGCTGACACAATAGGGAAGGGTGTGCTCATGGAACGGAGGCGCCCCTGACTTTAGTGGACAGCAGGCCCGCTGTTCGTGACTATCCAGCGGGTTGCCTATACTGACGTCACCGCACGGCGCAGGAGCTAAGGACAGCCATAGTGAGGAACGAATTCCATTTGCTTTCTATCACCAATACTACAGAACGACTCTTCAATAATACTTAACAAAAACATGTAGGAAATAGTGTGAAATGGTTACTTAGCATAGATTTATGACTAGTGTTCTCCAAAAAATATTTAACCACTTAATATTTTGAAATATGAAGGAAAAATATGCACTTCCATTAGCACTACACAGAAAGTTACCATGAGCTTTATGAATTCAAAACAAAAGATATTGTTAATGAAAGTTATTTCTGTTAATCTCGTTTATTCTCGCCTTAAAATTTTATCGTATATAGTTGCAAATAACTGACATTTTGGGCGACTGTGATTATGCTATTACAGTATTAAAATTAATAATTTAATGTTAACATTTAACAATGAAATGGTATGGTTGTATACGTTAGTGTACTGAGTAGATACCGTAGAATTTTAGAATGTAACATTGCGCATTGCGTAGACAAACATATATGTTTCAAATATTAGTCACCAAATTCCTGATATGCCGTCATGAAGGGCTGTATAATTGCTTCAACATACAAGTCAGGGTCTGACCGTTCCATTATGCGATAAAGTCTGGAGTTATTTTAAGTTTTAAGATAATGATTCCTGATAACTGCATAGTGCAAGATAATGATTTACTTTTCTCATAGGTGCAGGTAACGTATTTCATTATAGGGTTTGTTACAAGAACCATACTCGTCCCAATTGGACACTATTCAGGAGACACCAAACACTTGATAGGGTGAATGACTTAAGGCAAAGCGGGGCTCACCCTGGCGCCGAGCGCGAGGCGCGGGGGCCCGTGGGCGTCGCCGGGCGGGCGGCGCAGAGCCTCCTCCAGCAGCGAGCGGTCGTCGCGCGCCATCGCGCCGGGCGCCGCGCCCAACGCCGCCAGGCACTGGAAGGGGCCCGTGGGCGAAAAGGGGCCCGCGTGCTCGGGCGGGCTGCTGTGCTCGGCCACGGGCGCCATGCCGGCCGTGAGCGACGGGCGGCGCGG